ACAAACACACAACCACAAACACACAACCACAAACACACAACCACAAAAAAACAACCACAAACACAACAACACACACACAACCACAAACACACAACCACAAACACACAACCACAAACACACAACCACAAACACACAACCACAAACACACAACCAGAAACACACAACCAGAAACACACAACTCAACCACAAACACACAACCACAAACACACAACCACAAACACACAACCGCAAACACATCCACAAACACACAATCACAAAGACACAACCACAACTACAAACACAATCGCAACCACTACCAGTACCACGAACACAATCACACACACACAGCCACAAACACAACCACAAACACAATCACAAACACACAGCCACAAACACAACCGCAAACACATCCACAAACACACAATCACAAACACACAGCCACAAACACACAATCACAAACACAACCACAACCACAACCACAACACAGCACACAACCACAACCACAGCACACAACCCGAGGACCCACAAGCAAAATCGAGAACTACAATACTCACGACCATGGCAACATGCTCGTCATGATGGCATCAAGACAAATGATTGAAATGTCATGGTGGGGATCACTCGAAGAAAAGTAATTTGCTTTCAATTTTTCTCTTGGGAATGCGGGGCCGTATGCTTTGTGAGGCGCAGATAATGGTGCCTTTTCTCGTGCGTGTGGCACATGCGCTGCTCCGTGCTCACTCAAAGCTTGCATCGGGGCCTGCAGCTTGTGTGGCGGAGGCATTGCAGCGCAGACTCCTGTGTGGTGCTGCCAGAAGAGCTGCGGCTTTTTGGCATGCCTTGAATGTGAACTGCATTTGTCCATGATGGGTGACAACATCGAGCGCCTGCTGGCCGCCTGTAACGCTTTTGGAGACACACAGTCGGCCTCCGCCAGGCTGTCACAGCGCAGAGTCAAGACTTAAGTCTATTAAGAACAGTGCTTTGAAAGATGGTGCTTTGAAGTGCTTAGGCGCCATTTGTGGCAGTTTTATGCAGTTTTCCGTTTGTAGAGCATAACATACGCCCATTGTGCAGGGATGCTGCGACAATATTGGAGGCCCATGAGATGCTGGAATCTGCCCGAAGCATAAAGGATGTGCGGAAGCTGCAGTCTGTGTTGGCAACGGTTGAAGGGCTGGATGTATTGATTGCATCCTGGCAAGTACTTAGGACGTGACAAATTAGGAGGTCCCCGAAGCACATAGTTGGAGATAAGCTGCAAGTGTGACAGGTCAAAAGGAAAGCGAATGAGCTAAAGCTCGACCTTGAAGAATGGGAGGGGGTGCATTTGCGCCTGACAGCGGCCATGGAAGGCAAGACATTGGCCAAGCTCAGTTGTGGAACAGACATCCCACAAACCCAAAACACGAGTTGCAATCTTGAGCTTCCTGGCGCTTTCCTGCCTTGACCTGTCGAGGTGGGAGCCTGGCTTTGCTCCAAAACATTTTGCAGGAAGCACAGGCGCTCAAACTGCAGTTGCCGGAGGCACTTCACAATGCGGAGGGGCGTTGCGTTCAACTTGAAGCCATACAAAGGTGGGGACGCAATTGTGATCGGCTATTTGTGTGTGTGTGTGCGCGTTCCATTGCAATTCGTCACTGGCAGGTTGCGGGAGGCAGTTGATTTTAACGAAGTGGTCACTTTACAATCTGCCATTGCATTTGCTCAAAATGCGCAACTTTGACCTGCCTTATGATGAGTTATGGGCAGCCATTGGCCCTCCTGCAACACTTCAGAAACGTGCACTCGATGTGGAAAGGTCTAGTTGCCATGAGCTGGGATGGGGCGTTGCAGATTTTCAGTTCTGAGGCAGATGAACTCAGAGCTAAAGGAAGCTCTTGATAGAGCAGAAGTCTTGCACGAGAAGCTGAGCGTTTTTCAACGTCTCGAAGCTGCTTTGCTGGCCTGGGCGCCGTGTTTGCAAGAAACCCATGGGTCATGAGGAGGGGGTGGACGCACTGTGTATGTTGTGCGGGATTGCGATGGGGCTTCTCTAGCGCAGACCCACAACACGATGAAGGAAACCAATCTGTGAGAGACATGCTGGGAGACCTTCAGAATCCTGCGTCCCAACGTGCTCAGCCGTTTGAAAGGAGTAAGAACCCAGTCTAGGTACAGTATGTGTCAGAAGTGGCATGTTTGATCATGTTTGCTTTGGCTGAGGAGGCTGATGCCTTGAGACAGGCGTTGGCAGATGCTGGCAGGATCGGGGCGGTGGATGGATCATTGATGCTGGCACAGGTCGGCCCGGCCCTAATGGCATGACATTCAACAACCTTTTCCTGCTCTGATCGCCGAGCCTGTTTGTCATGACATGACTAGCTTTGCTTTCATTTTGTTCTATGGGCCCTTGTGGCATTGCCACTCCTTTCAGGCTGAGCTCGAAAAAATGGAGGTTCGATGCAGCTCAAACCATCGTTTGCGAAGACCTCTGGCAAGCAGCGGGATGGCCTCTAAACATTCTGATTGACATTGGCTTCAGTTATGTTTGTGGACAATATATTATATATAATATATATATTTCATGTATATATACAATATAAAACAATACTGTATTTGATTCTGACCCGACTCCGACTGGTGCTCGTTTGCACTACGCCAAGGAGCAGCCGAGTTTCGTGATTATTTTTGCCATGGCTGCTATGCACAGTCTGGTGTCAAGGCCCCTCACAGCATCCGAGCAGCATGAGCGCAACAGTTATAGTCGTCGGCCACGGGGGAGCACAATGTGACTAATATGTGACAATCATAGCATATCATAGCATTATGTGATACCACGTAGCATCTTTTGCAGGAGTTGTCTTGGTACCGCTGCGACCTCTGTGACTTTGAGCTTTGCCATCATTGCTTATCATGGCGTGCGCGAAGGACGAGTGCTCCGGGCCTCGAGCAGCCGAGCGAGGCGGACCCTGCGACCACGGCGAAGCCGGCGACCCACGACGGTCGCGGTGGCATTCACTCGGACAGGGCTTTGCCGACGAAACCTTTGCAGCCGGATGACGAGGAAAGCCAGCGAGAGTGGTTCAATCGTTGGGCCAAAAGCTTCAATGCGGGCAGCGCCCACTGGGAGCTTTTCAAGGGTGGGTCTTGGATTCCATTTGGGACAGGATTGTCAGACTTGCTCACCAATGCCTGGCAAGCTGGACATGAAAATGTGACCTACACAGCCAGCAATGAACAAAAGCATCTCTTTCATTTTGGATCAATGGAGCAGGTCAATCTTAGCACCGCAAAAAGAAGACCGATGCGCCGCGTGCTGTGGGAAATCGAGCTTGACAAGGGCTGGTTCCTAGTCGAGGATGATTTGGCCCTCAGGCTGCGCTTGCACCAAATTCGTGGCGTCTCTTCATTTCAGCACTTTGCGAGGGACATGGAATACACAATTGATATAGAGAAAATGGAGCAAGTGAACGAGCACCTTGGCACCTGCAGAAAGCTTCGAAAGATTGCAGCCGAAGAGGCAGCTCCAAAAATGAGTCGGCAGAATTTGCGAATGGCCTTGGAAGATGATTTCAGCCGTGTTGCGTGTGCAGTCCGTCAATGGGTGGTCCTGCGATGGCCTTGGCAAGAGCTCGGTGACTGCAGCATAGATGCCGAGGGTTTCATCCGCACTGGTTTGGCGGACGAAATATCCAGAGGCCTTCATTCTTGGCAGCATGAAACTCCCCAACTAGGCGGCCTTCTCCAAAATATCCTTTGGTTTGACCATGTGGATTCAAGGAGGGCAGACTTCATCAGCCAAAATGAGGCAGGCACCCTGATGTTCCGCTAGTTAGCGCTAGTTTCTGGTCTTGACTGCGGTGGTGGTTAGTTCAGATTCTTTGGTGTGCTACTTGCTTTGCCAATCTTTGAGTATCACTCTGTGATTTCCCATTCTCAAGCCAGGTCGTCAATGCAATTGTTCAGGACCCACGGTGGCGTTGGGGTCTTGCAGGCAGGCCCGACCAGCATACGAAACCTTTGGCCGTTGCATTCATCCTTCCTGGTCCAGTCCAGTCCATGATGTTCACATCAACATGCCTTGGCACTGGCCAACCTGCATCGTCACGTGCAGCTTGCGTTGCAGTTGGCAGGTGCAGAGGATGCTGTGAGTGCCCTCTGGTCTGAGTTAATCATAAGGACGGAGACTCACATGAGCAAGCGGGAAGTCTTGGTCGCGGGCTGATGCCTCAGTGATGAGCAGGACATGGTATGACTGACTATGAACCATGGGCTGTGCAGATGCCCAATGACAGGCTTAGAGTTGATTTAACGATTTGTTAGCTGAGGCGGCTTGGCAGACGAGCTTTTGCAAATTCTGAATTCTGACCTGGATTCTGTGGATGACTGGATCATGGAGAAGAAGTTGCCGTTGTGGGAAGGACACGACTGTGCCTTGTGCTTCTGCCCCATTGGGAAGAGTGACATGGGCCGTCGAATGCGTTGTGGTTGCTGGCTGCACTTTGAGTGTCTGGGTCATGGTCTGGCTGTGAAGATCTCAGAAAAAGCTGTAGATGACGCGCAGATGAGCATGTGCCCAGCCTGTGGGCAAGACCTGGGCAGAGTTATTCCTGCGGGTGTTGTTCGCAGAGCCGTTGGAGAGGAGAGATTTGGCAGGCGAGCTTTGCATTAGCCACATGCCATTGCATATTATTGTGAATATTCTTACGGGTTGCCTTGAGCAGTGCCAGGTACTTGGACGTCCGTGTGGAAGTTCAGTGGCAGAAAGAAGCGCTCGACAGTGGGAGACTTGTGGCCACTTGCCCCAGCTGCTCTTTCCTGGTGCTGTGCAACGAAAGGGAGGACTCCGACAGACAATCACACCAGCAGAATGTGCAGAAATGAATGTATATGTGTTTTTTTTTTGGGTGTGCTGTATTTAATTGAATACAATTTTTAAATATTCTTAAGGCACCAGTCACAAGTATATCAAATATAGTATAGTATTTTTTGAAACACAGCTGCTGTCTTGCAGGAGATGTACTCAATCAAATGTCTACGGCAGAGCTGCTTCATAGACCGCTTCTGTGCATTTTGCCACTTGCTCTCAATATCGTTTAAGCACAGGCCCACACTAAAACCCGGGTGTCAATTTTCCCAACGAGTGGCATCGAGGTGTTTGTAGGACAAGTAAATGTTCCGACTTCTATGTCCTTCTTGCGTGTATTCTTGCCCGCGGCTTGCAGTTCATTTGATGAGACATGTAAAACGATTTAAGACGATACATGTGCATCAGCTGGCAGTCATTGCAAGTGCTGGCTCAGAGGTTCAATGTCGGACCATCGGCCTTGGACATGCGAAGAGAACGAGAGGCGCTTGAAGTTTGAGGATACTTCTCGGAGGGCTTCGTGGCCAAATGGAAAGCAAGGGCAGGGTTAAAAGGGTTGATTACGGGGCCGTTGGATTTCTTGAAGCGAGAAGAGGCCAATAGAGAGATATAGAGAGCATATGAATGTGGCATGCTTCGAGGTACGATCGGAGATAGAATCAGCGCTTGCAGAAGCTCTCTTCCGACGATGCACAGGATGTGGTGTACCAACTGAGCGCATCGATGCATGCTGCCACATGACTTGCGTTCATTGTGGAGCTGAGTTCAGCTGGGTGTGCGGTTTTGACTATCACCGATGCCGTGCCTCCCACCCCTGTTTGAACTCCGCAATCTACTTGCACTGCATGCCTCAATTGACTGCGATTTTGGACCAGCGCAACCTACCGCGCACTGACCAGAATGGAAGCGATCTCTTTCTCGACCCTTGCTGACCATGGGGTGAATCTGTGTCTTTGTGTGGTCGGTCCTTTTTTCTGCAAACACATTACTGGGTACCTGGGTTCGTTTGGGCCAGAGCAAGTAGAAAAGATTCGTCGAGTGTTTGTCAGCTTGCTGCATCTATGTTTGCAGGCAAATCTTCATGATAGTCCTACCCTTGAGTTCTGATTGGGTTTTCGTCCGCCAAAGGCTGCAAACTTCGGCATAGATCTAGTTATTTTTGTGCACAGGGGCAATGAATTCTTGATGTACATCAGTTTTGGCAAACATACTTCCGTAGAGCGTTTCCACGGTGTTTTAACATAATACATCATAATACTTAAAACCGGGGACTTTTAGCAAGCAGGGTGACTTTTGACTAATGCTGCGTTTCCCTGCGGCCGGGTGACTTTTTGCAAACCCCGGTGACCAAACCCCGACGCTTGTAGACCGGGATTTGAGATACTGTAATTTGAGGAATTGCGGTGCATCTACCTCCTCTCCATCGTCAAACGGACAGTTGGCGATGATGCTTGGAACTTTGCACGTGGGAGACCCAGCTCATCCATGTTCATCCTGATGTTTTGTTCGTTGTTTTGTTGCTTTTTCCTTTCGGAGGTGAGCAATTCCCAGAGCTTCTCAGCGATGTCATTCGTGGACACTGGAGCATACGGTGGGATGACGTGGGGGATGTTCAGCGTCTTACAAGACTCTTGCCAATGGCATTTCCAACCCTGCAAGACAGTCTCTGAGTCTTTGGTTTTCTGTGTCTTTCGTGGAGAAGACCATCGAGAACGCGACATGAACCGAGCTGAGAAGCGGTGGAAGCGGATGTAGCGCGGCCTACGGAGGGCCCAGCCTTTGCCGGTGCAGCGGGCGTTTCAGGGTTTGCAGATGGTGAAGATCGTGAACGTCATGACGTCGTGACCTGAGGTTGCACTGTGCCGTCACGGCGAGCCACAAAAACTGGGCCAAAAGGCTGGTTTATACATAGCCAATGGGTCGCCTTGGCCTCAGTTCGTGTCAGGCGAGTGCGTTTCAGGCTGCCTCTATACAAAGCTAGCAGGTGCCATGAACACTTCACAGGCACGCAACATCGCCAGCACTGCCCGCAGAAAAAAATGGAAGAGCTTGTGAACAAAGACTTGTTGAAGTCGGGACATCTGTGAGGCGGCAGGGAGCCATGAGAGGGAGAGAGAGATTGTTCAACAACCTGATGCTGCTATCAAGTTCCATTTGTAGCCAGGTGATGGATTTCCGCGGCTGTTCCCATATGAGTCCTCAACGCTTGTTCCACTCCAGTTGTTCGGCCTCCTCAGCACAAAAGTCGCTGCAACAGCTAAAAGAGGCTAAGTCTCAACCCTACGCTGCCAAAATTGGCAGTGTGTACTGGCACTGTATCGCCCGTTTCAGGCTTTGCAGAATGCCGAATTGATAGACCAAACTCAGACCTATGGAGTGGTGTTTAAAAAACACCGATTGCAGGCTGGTCGGTCGGACCACACAAAGTTGAGCAGTGGCGCTTTACGAGCCAGGAGTGGCACTTCACGAGCTCATATTGTGCAAACAGCTGGGTGTGGTTGCCATCAGTTGAGCTGTTGCGTCCCACACATGAGGCTCAAGCATGTTGGGCCAGACAGAGATATTGGCATGACATGAGAGAAATGCAGCAGCAGGACACCCCAACCCACCAAGGCAGACTGCCTTGAGATGTGTCAAATTATGTGCAGTACTAGATACCTGCCATCGTCTGATCACCATGCTCTCTTTCTTTCAATGAGAGAGTTGGATAGAAGCCCGAGCCTTGAACACACAGATGCGCAAGCTTCGTGATTTGACACCTCAGAGGCCCAGACAGATGCCCCTTGCCACCGAGGGCAAGTGTGTCAAGCGCTCAGAACTTTAAGACCTAGTCAAGCCAAGAAGGCCACCGAGAAGAAAAGAAAAACAAACATGTCTAAATTATTTGTTGGGTTGGGTCTTTTTTGAGAAAGTGCAAAAAAGGGACATATAGAGAGAGAGAGAGATACGGTTGCTTTGATGCCCAGGCAGCAGATGAACTGGGAGTCAATCGTCTTGCATTGATACTGGGTAGTTACTGTGAAGAAACACCAGCTTCAAGTTTCAAGTCCTTCGTCCCTGATCAGCCTAGGCTTCCGGCCGCGCCCCGCCTATCGAACTCGAAAGGCTCTCAGACCTCAGACGTCCCCAGGTTTTGTCAAATTCTTGCGCTCTAATGCTGCTGCATTTTCGCTTTTATACAACTTTTGGCTCCAGATCAAGGGAGCAGCAGGACATTGGCCAAATCATCAAAGTTTAACAATTGCCTAACTTCTGCACAATTCCACGCAAGCCCATCCACAGAGACAAGGACGACAAAGCTGCCCACAGAGCAAGGACGATTTTGGGTGTTCTGGAAGACCATATTGTATTGCCGTAAGCCGTAAGCCTACTGCTCTTTATATAAGGATCGTGTTGTGTTCAGGTTTGCTCACATGTGGAGAATTAGTATTGCAGCGCGTGCCCAAGAAAAACACCCATCGCCGTCATCATAGCTTTTGAATCTACCGCGAAAGGGGCATCCAAGACGAATGCTGGAGCAACCGTGACGAGTTTCACAAGCAAGACTTCATTGAGCCGGGATACGATGTGATACCCACAGCATGCCAACATCCGAGAGCATCAAGATTCTTCAGAATTCGCAACAATGGAGGTATATGCATGCCCTATCATGGCCTATATTATCTTGGAGCCAAACATAGATCAATCAAGCTTCTGCAGCTTTCTCCACTCATCCTGAGAGGGCCATGGTCAAGCTTCCACAGCTAAAGACCATGCAGGCACGACAGACTGACTTCAGCAGATGAACAGTCGAATTCATGCTTTAGGAGATGTTAGGAGGCATCCTAAAGTCGAGGGGCAGAACGTTTGCAGAGTCATTTCAGGCGCATTGCTGCGCTGTTCGTTTGTGCGCTCTGGTCTACTTTTTTGCGTTTCTGGGGAGTCTCACTTGACAATTTCAGGAAGGGAATGAGAACTGCAGCACCCTTATGGGTCCTTCTTTTTTTTGGGGGGGTGTTTTGCCATCATGACATGTAGCATCATGATGCATCATGTAGCTAGCCGCTAGTGTCCGAATGGATCTGAGGAATGTGATTGATGGACCCATTATGTGGACCCTTTCGCCTCCACATGATTGGAGCGCAGCAGGGTTGGTGTCTTTGAACAAGCTGGCTTTGGCACCTGCAGCAGTTGCATTCTTCAGGCCGTTTGGATCCAAAGGTGGGCCTTCAGAGGCTCCAAAGCGGATTGCTTTGTTTCTGAACCTGTTCAGGCCCTGGTACTGGCCTTGCTTAGCCATTTGTTGGGTGCTATGGCATACGACGCACACGAATGGTGGTCACTGGTTCTTCTTTGGATGGGACGCGATGCTGGATGAAATTGGATGTCTAGCGAGCATTCTCTCCATCACTTTGACTCTTTACGACGACGTCCAGGCTGTTTTCAAACAATCGCAACCAAGAATGAGAAGTGGATTAAATCAGGTTTTCCCTCCTTGTAGATCACAACACTCGTAACACATTTGCACATCCGTGGTGCTGCTTTTTCAGGTGGAACCTGGCGTTGCTGAAATCAACTTGGACAGACAGGAAGAAGAGGCCTTGCTTGGTCTAAGGCTAAGATGTATTGTTCAGTTGTAGCATTGTAGAGTTGGCTTTCGTGCGCTTTCCCTCTTGTGGTGGGCACAGGAAGAGGAGGAACCAGCTCTGCCAGGTTCTGCTGAGGCATTGGAGGTTTTCACGCCAAATTTGATGACATTCTAGTCCTTCATACATGTTAAATCTATGACACCTGGGCAGCTCTACCGTTGCTGCGGGTGAAAATGATCTAGAATCTAGACCATTACAGAAAACGGCTTGAGCGCAAGAGATACACATACAAAATAAGATGGGGGGTACCTTCGACAGCTCGTCAATCTTTGCGTGTCGCACGTGAGGCATGTATGTGTTTTGAGCAATGAAGCCTCCTCATACTTTGACACTGTTCAGGGATTTGCGTCAGCTCTTCGATCTCGAAAGCGGGACAAGAAGCAGGTCAGAGGTTCAGCAGTGATGTCCTGGTGTTGTCCCTCTCTTTCTCTCTCTCTCTCTTTCTGTTTTGTTGTTTCCGTTTTTTCCCACCCTCTGCGGGTCATCAGCAAGTGTGAGCACCAGCGCATTCACAGACATTATGTGCAACATGTGGGGCAGGCGCCAAATGAGGGGACTTCCCCTTGCTATGCAGAAGAGGCCATGACGAGAACACCAAAGGCTGGGTCTTGCTGCTGCGCTTCATGTTTCCGCTTGGTAGGCGGAACGACCATCGCGTTCTGCATGGCAAATGCTTTGGATATCCTTTTCCCCAGAGAAGTGCACCTCAAGCTCACGACCATGCAGCCAAGCAGTGGATTTTCTTCCGAACTTTGTAGCCTTTTCATCCTTTTCCTTTCTCCCCATTTCTCCTCTTAATTTTCACAGTATGATCTGGGTCACCTCATGGATGTAGGCTTAGGGTCTCTAGGGCCTGAGCGGGGCTTGAAACCAAGATTGGAAGGACTTAGATAGATTCCGATAGAGGGTCAAGCTCTGTCTTCATCGAGCTATGTCTTCACGGACTCGTCAACATCTGAGGACTGGTGCCGTACTTTGGCGGAGCTCTCCTTGACACTTGCTGGTTTCAGACTTTTTCTTGCAGCCGGGCTTTTGAAAATGAGAGTGGGGAGTGCATGCTGGAAGAACTACACCTGCCTGTATGATCATTATGAGACTCAGCCTATGCCAAATTTTGCGGCTTGGATGTTCCACAATTACACCCCTCATGCCATGCTTTCAGTCATGCAATGGTTTGCGATTGATGTCTCTGAATGTATTGTCCCCTACTTTTTGCTGAGCTTTGTTCTCAGCATGGGGCCGGTTGGGGTTCTACAGCGGCAAGTGCTAAGAGACGGATTCGCACAGCGGATTCTTCAGATCCCGGGTCGCCTGATTGCCTCGGTCCTCATCATGATCTTTGTGTTCGGCATGTTCATTGGTGGCAACTATGCGTTTCTACATCCTTTGGCAGTTGTCTCCTTAGTGGCCTCAGTTGGTACAGTTCATGGGCGTCCCGTGATCCGCAAACCTGAATCAGCACCAAAGATTCTCTATCGGGCTCTCATGCCATGGGTGGTGCTACTGGTGCTGCTCTTTGCATTTCTGCCAAGTCTTCGGGCTTATGCGACTGGGCCTTATGTTATTTTGCAAGCCATTTTTCCCCAAACAGTGTGGACACACTAGGGGTTCTTACGGTAGGTGAAAAGCAGGTGTGCTTAGGTGTGCCGCGCGGGCGTGTCCGGCTAATTCGCTGCTATTTACAGTACATTCATGCCTCTCGAAATCGTCGACATGCATTCCGACTGCGCAGGCTCGCTGAATCTGGGTGTCTGCAGCGGGTTCTGGTGGTGATCGTCGAGGAGCTCAGATTTCGTGACAGGCGCAGTGAATCGTGACTTTTGGACATGTGGCTCGTTTGCAGATTTCGTGGCAGGCACAGCACTCTGTGACCCTCGATGTGCGGATTTCGTGGCAGGTGCAGCAATTTGTGAACCTTGAAGTGCACATTTCGTGGCAGGTTCGGCACTTTGTGAACCTCCAAGCCTCCAAGTGCAGGTTTTCGTGGCAGGCGCAGCACTTGGTGAACCTCGAAGTGCAGATTTCGTGGCAGGCACAGCACTTGGTGAACCTCGAAGTGCAGATTTCGTGGCAGGTACAGCACTTGGTGAACTTCGAAGACTTTGTGAACCTCAATGTGCAGATTTCGTGGCGGGCGCAGCACTTTGGGCTCTCAGATGCCCACCTCTCGCTCTCACTCACACGCTCACACTCACACTCACACTCTTTCACTCACAGTCACTCTTCACTCACACTCACATTCACATTCACTCATCCACGCTCACGTCACATTGACACTCACACTCACTCTCCCTCACACTCACTCTCCTCCACACTCACTCACACTCACGCTCACGCTCACACGCTCACTCCCTCACTCACTCACTCACTCACTCACTCACTCTCCCACTCACTCACTCTCACTCACTCTCACTCACTCTCACTCACTCTCACTCAC